CTGGCACTGTCAGACTTCTGACTGGGTATGTGCTTGACCCCTACTTTACACATCTGTTCCAGGGTTATCATTCCTTTTTATGGATGAGAAAACTGAGGCTAACGAGCGGAAAGCTCTGAGAATGAATGAATGAATTATATGGTGATATTTTATTATTTCTCCCACTGGTACTTAAGTTCCCTTGAGCTGTAAATACCTATTCCTAGCCCTTAGAACAGGTCTTGGCATAAGGTAGAAGATCAGTAGTTATTTATTGTTGAATGAATGAATGAATGGATGGATGGATGGATGGAGGAAGCTGGGCAGAGAACAGGAGCCTCCTCTTGGCTTTCTGAGATACACTCTGCATTTCCTTACTCAGCCAGCAGGATTTTAGAAGGAAGGCTTAGCAAGCTCTGCCACTAGAGTGGTAAGGCCAGGCTGAGGCTGAGCGAATGGTGGAGGAAGGGTGAAAGCTAAGAATTTTTCAATGGAAAATTGAATCTGCTCAGCAGGGGTTCGATGAGGCGCTGGGGCCAGCGACAGAGGATGCAGCTGGAAGGAGTGTCCATCTGGATCCCATGGGCCGCTGGGTGTTGAGAGGTTATTCTTAGCCATCTTTTCTTCAGTCTTTATTTTCTCTTAATCAGGGCTCTCTTGATTTTGCAATTGGAGCCTTTCCCCCCCTCTATAAAGCAATGATTTTCCATATAGTAATTCTTTCCTTCTTTAGACTTCCCGGAGGGGGTGGGTGGTTCTTTTTGTGCTCAGACGCTTTGCACATTGCCTCCCACCCAGCTCCTCCCGAGTGCTTTTGTGGCTGGTGGAGACCTATTATGTGAGCTGAGTATTTGACCCCATCTCCTTGTTTGTTTCCAGAGAGCTTAACCATAGCATTCTCCTTGCTAATTATTTTTTCCTAGTAACATCAATGTGAGTACATTTCCCGCCCTTCCTCCTTGTGCCTCATGTGTCCTGAATTCTGCTAGATTAATTTAACTTGAGCCTTAAGAGGCTGCAAAGCCGAGGGCAGGTGGCCCAGCTCCAATCTTTGGTTCCTGCGTCATAATCATAATCACTGGCATTGACATGGTGCTCTGTGGTTGACAAAGCACTTCCACACTCAGTAGCTCTCCAGAAAGACAGAAGTCGAGGTCTCTGGGGTCTGGTGATATCCCCAGCATCTGTATGCCTAGGAAGAAAGGCCTGGGGTTGAACTGGCTTTTCTGCTGCTGAATCCCCTCCTTGTTGTTTGTTACAGCTCTTGCAGGCCTTACAAAGTCAGATTCCCTTGGGGCCAGGTGTATAATCAAATGAGGGAAGTTGGCTGGGGTAGAATATGGTAGGGGTTAATGAGGACTATGGAGAATTGGAAAACATGCCTTGCCTAAAGGCAACGAAATACAGTATATTTAAAAAGCAATTAAAAAACCCATTTATCACCTCCTCAATGCCCAGTCTGCAGTCTACCTTTTGCTGGTGGAAAAGGGAGAGCCTACGGATGGTGTCCCCTTTGCCACTGAGTAGCATGACTTGTTGGTGTGGGTAGACATCCCTTGGTTGCATTAGGTGTCCAGTGTCTTTGAGGCAGTATAGTATGGTCAAGGCTAAGTGATTCTCTTGCTTTTAGGGTCGTGTTACCGACTGAGGGATGTACAGATCTTGGGTCCACCCATCATTTCGCCTCCCTCATAGTTTTCAGGGGATGAGATTCAAAGTAATATCATATTTAATGGCAGTGTGGGTCCCTGATGCCCCAACCCACAGCCCTTGTCAAAGGTTCTACTCCTTCCCCATCCCTCTCTACCTGCTCTCATCCCTTTTTGAAATCATGGGACTTGGTTGCTCAGGTCTATGTTCTGAGAGAAAGAGTGACAGTGACAGAGAAGTAGTCAAGGCCTTAAAAGAACCCCAAGTTCATGTTCTAATCCAGTGCATGGGGCCCAAAGAACAGAGAGGAAGAAACCCTATTAGTAAAATGTGGCCCAGTGAAATTCATGGGCTTTGACCAATCATATAAAAACTACTCTTTTGAGAGGAGTTAGGGGGAGGGCATGGTCTGAGGTGCCCACATGGGACTGGGGCTGAAGTGTATTCCCTCCTCTGAGTAGAACAGGTTGAGATCGTGGCTCCAGACAGCGCAGCTCTGCTGCCTACTAACTGTGAACTTGGCCAGGTGATTTCACCTCTTTCCTCATCATCTTCACCCATCAAACATGGAGAAGTGCAGTGGTGATGAGGGTTAACAAAGATAAGTCATGGGTATTCAGTAAATGTTAGTTATTTTTTTTTTTTGAGTTCTGCCTTCTATGATACTCATCTTCATGTTAGTTAGAACCCAAGGTCGCCTTCTAATGCTGCCAGAGGGAATATGGAGGGAATAATTCATAGAACAAGAAACTACAACATTATGCCAATATTTTCCTCTTCAGAACTTGCCACTTGTTCAAATGCCCTGATTCTACCTTTTTTCTCTCCGGTTCCATACCCTCAGATGGTCCCAGTGAGCTGGAATTCTGGACAACGTAGCTGAGATTCTGCTGGCTAAGATTTGGCTCTCAAATGTGCTTTTTGTGAGGTGTAACTGTGATTTTTGTGCAGATACTCCAACTTAACTGACATTCAGTTGAAACTTTTGCTAAGTAGTTGTTTTCCCATCTGACTTTTTGTGGAACAGAAAATTTAAGAAGGCAGATTATTTTATTCAAACGCAACATTGCTGTACTTACCCAATCAATAGTGTCCTGAAAGCACCCTCTCCCCAGGCCCCACCAATCTTTAGAAGTTGTTTTCTTTGGTGTGCCTCACTTACACCAGTAAAAAACAGTTCATAGTAGATAGTGCCTAGGCATAGAATCAGGTTCTTGTTAATGTGAAGAATTAGGTTCTTATCAGTGGCAAAATTTGCACTGAGATGATGTATGACATGCTTACAGACTCTGACTTAGTTTTTAGCCACATAATGTTTCTCTTGAGACCAGTTGACAGTAGGAGTTTCAATATGGTTAAAAAAAAAAAAAAAGCATGGTAAATTCTGAAATGCAGGTAACTCATGAATTACAGGTGTTTTAATACGGAGTCAGCTACATACTCTTGGATGATCTCTTTCCCTCCCCCAGACAAGACCCCCACCTCCTGCCCAATTTTCTCCTTTCCCCACATCTGTGGCCATCCTCTCCTGCTTAAATCCAGACGGAAAACTCAATGCTAATGAAGGGCACCATCCAGGACATTGTGATTCCCAGGTTCTAGTTCCAGCTCTAGTTACTACCAACTGAGTGGTAGTCATCCCTCTCGATCTCAACTTCCTTATGTAGAAAGTAGGGTACTGGGGCCAAGGCAACTAGGACTAAATGAGCTCTAAATTTTTATTACTCTGTGGATCCCACCTTTGCCAGCTTGGGGCCTGGCAAGTCTCAGCAGCTGGTCACTTGGATAATCCCCAAAGCAGATAACTGCATGCAGGATAACAGAGAATATGGACTATAATCACAGCAGAGGCCAGCCACTCAAATAGATGCTAGGGCCTTTGGCTGCTTCCTGGAGCCACCAGCCAACCCAGAGATGAAGCTGGCTGGAAAAGTGGATGGGCATGTTGGAAAGGTCAGTGGCATCTCCAAACACAGCGTCTGGGAAATGCCCACGTCCCCAGAAAGAGGTCACTGAAACCCTTCAGCTGGTGGTGCAGTGCAAAGAGCCAGGCAAACCAGGTAATCCTGATTTTGCCACTTACACCGCTGCATGACCTTGGGCAAGCTCTTTTGGCCAAGTGTCATTTTTCATTTTTCTCCATAGAATGGGGGTAGCAATATATCTACCTTGCAGAATTGTGGGATTGAGTACTGCGGAGGCCTAACAGTACCTATTCAGTATAGGTACTCAGAGGTACTTAGTAAATGGTGGTAGTAGTAGTTACTATTTATCCCGTACCCTTTATTCACAGGAGTCTCGGGGTAGGGTAGGGTGGGGTAGGGGAACGCGGCACCTGTGTCTGGCTCAGGGCTCCTCCCCCCACGGCTGGGAGGCATTGGCTCCGCGCCCCGTGCCAGGGCCAGAGATGCTGCCGACTGGAACGGTGATTAAATCCCCTGACTGAGGAGCCTCGGCATCCTGGCCCACAGCAGGGCCAGCAGCATTTAGCACAGTCTGCTTGGATCCCCTCATTAAGTTGGTTTTCAGAACTGCCCTTTTCAAGGTCTCGTCCCCTTTCGTCACCTCTCTTCAGCCCCTTCTCTGTGGGTCCGTGCCAGAGAAGGGAAATGAAGCGGTACGGGGCTCTCCTCCCTCGTCCTCCAGAGAGAGGGTGACAGGAGGCAGGAAAAGGCAGCTTTCGGGGCAGCAGATGCGGCTAACACAAGCCCTGGCCCCACAAGGTGGCTGCGGCCCCCTCCGAGAGGCCAAAGACTCCGCGCGCGCCCTACGGATCCGTTTTTCTGGCAAAGCCGGGGTCCCAACTCCAGCCTGCCTCTTGCTCCATCCTGAGTCCCGACAGCTCGCCAGCGCTCTGCGGGGAAGCGCGATTAAGTGGCGCTGCGTGTATTTTTCCAGCTTCTTGAACCCACCTAGTGAAAATAAAAGCAAAATGAAGGAGCCCGGGATGGAACGGTCGTTATTTTTCAAAAGGGGGAGAGGGGTCACATGAGTAACCGTTTTGGCGAAGCGGCGGCGCGTCCGTTTGCTGCAGATCCGCCCCCTCCTGGCGGGGGCGCTGACGTCACGGAAAAGCCCCGGCGCGGGCCCGCGGGCGCGCTATAAAGCGCGGGGCCGCGGCGGCTGCGGGCGGCGGCACGGACAGCGGGCACGGCGCAAGCACCCGGCGCTCGGCGGCCCGGCATCGCAGCGCGCACGCACGCAGCCACCGCGGACTCGCGGGCGCCCACCCTGCAGAGCCAAGTAAGCGGGCGGTTTGGGGAGGGAGGGTCCTCCCGACGCCGGGGGCAGTGGGCGTTCCCCGCCAGCAGAACTTTCTAAGTTGTCGAAAGAGCTCCTGTAACTTGTGGTCTGCGCTGTGGTCTTCTGGCTGGGGGGCGGGGGCCAGAGTTTAAGGTGCAAAGGATGCCAATTGTCATCAGGTTCCGTAGTTCAGGTCAGTAGGAGGGTCACCTCCTCCTGCGGACTGTGCGGTCAGAGGGCAGCCCTCACGGATACGTCATGCTTTTTGTTGTTTGAGTGCCTGCCGGCCAACTGAGGCACGGCTTAATGAGATCCAGAAACCGGCTGGTCATTACCGTTAGTGGCCGGCATGCTGGGGTGTGGTGTGGGTGTGAGTCTGGGGAGGGGAGTCTGCGTTTCTCACTCTCACGAATGATCTCCCTTGTTAGAAATGAGAAGGCTTCTACTTTATCTTGTAGCCGCAGAGTACAAACCTCCGTGCAGGGGGATGGAGGCTTGCAAAAGGGAAAGTTGTGGGAAAGTTGTTAATGCCTTTGAGGAGGGTCTTTGGCTTTCTGATTTTCCTCAGGAAGGTGGGAATCTGAGTTGAATTGAAGAACTCTTAGAGGGGATGTGGTTTAATGAGAGTGAAGCATTTTCTCTGCCAGTTTGATAGGTCAGAACTGTGAGCCGGTCATTTCCCTGCAGGAACAACAGGGCTTGGGGTTGGGATTTTTGAAACATGATGTCTGTGGGCAAGAGGGCAGAACTGAGGCATAAACAGGAATTCTTTTTTGCCCCCAAATAATAGCTTATTCAGGCAGCTGGAGAGCATCAGGGTGACTTTACTAAACATGGAAGTTCCAATAAGTGCTTGTCCAGGGCAGCCAGAGGGAGTGATGTCATTGCCACGTGTTTCCCATCCAGGCACTAAAGCCCACTGGATGCTGGTGCAATTAAGAGCCATGTTTAGACAAGAGCAGCTAACCTGGCCAGCTGGTCCCCAGCTCCATTAACTTGTTGCTTTTCAAGCCATCTCCGGAGGCTGCTGGTTCTTCGGGCTGCCTCTGTATCAGTGCTGAGTGGGCTTCCTGAAGGCTTCCTTGAAGATGGAGGAAGCCAGAGGGCAGTGGATGATGTTTATGGTACTTTTTTCTTTTTGCCAATGACAGTCTGCCTTGGAACTGGCTACTAGCTGAAAGCCTCTTGGATTTGGGGATGGTTTCGTTGGGGTTCCTGTATCAGGGTTACTTGGGTCTCACCCCATCTACTGAGATATCGCTGATGGCTGACTGTGTGGATGAGCCCCCCCACCCCGAGCTCTCGCTCCCGCTTACTAATGCTTACCTCTTGGCTGCTTTGCTCTCCAGGACCCAACCATGACTCTGAATAATGTCACCATGCGCCAAGGCACTGTGGGCATGCAGCCGCAGCAGCAACGCTGGAGCATCCCGGCGGACGGCAGGCATCTGATGGTCCAGAAAGAGCCCCACCAGTACAGCCAGCGCAGCCATCACTCTGCTGCCCCCGAGGACCACTGCCGCCGGAGCTGGTCCTCTGACTCCACAGACTCAGTCATCTCCTCCGAATCGGGGAACACCTACTACCGGGTGGTACTCATAGGGGAGCAGGGGGTGGGCAAGTCCACTCTGGCCAACATCTTTGCAGGTATACATGACAGCATGGACAGCGACTGCGAGGTGCTGGGAGGTAGGTGGCGCAGCCCCAGCAGGCTTCTGTCCATCAGCAGTGGTCCAGTCCCAAAGAGTAAGGGGGTGGGTCCAAAGAGCGTGAGGGTGTGTCGTTCATCTGCAGAGTTGGGAATGGCAATTATGCGTCCTTGGCACTGGCTTGGGAAGCTGAGGGCCCAGCAAAACCCTGGCATGGATCCTCAGGAGGAGAAAAAGAAAGTGCTTGGTGATGGAACCTGGGCCAGAAAGGGAATTTCTTAGATTCCAGCCCTGCAGGGACTTGGGGGGTAGACTGATAAAGAGGCAGAGTCAGAGGGTCAGGCTCCCACCTCTGGCTTTTGCCAACTCTGAGCTGGACTTTACAAGAGCTCAGTGTAAGCACAGCTTTTTTTCACGGTTGTACCTAAAACCAAACTGATTTGAAAAACTATTAGGGTGGATTCACCAGCTTCCACAATTATTAGAGTCTTTTGAGCATATAGTTTATATTTTGAAATAGTCCAATATTTTAAAAACGTTAAGTATAACAATGGTGATACATATGTTTGTAGAGTCTTACAGGTTTTCAAGATAATTTTCCATGTACAATGTCACTTAAAATATTTACTGTTTAAGACTCGCCTATTTCCAAAAATGGATTTGAAGTGATGTAGTTACAAAGATGCACATGTTCCTCAAATACATGTAAAGCCTGGTACTGTATTCTGGAACATGATATGAGGATCCTAATTGATCATCAATGGTATTCATACAGCGGTTTTCGGCCAAAGCTTCCGTCTTAGTATACATGACTAGGGGAGCTGCAGGTCCTTATCTGCAGCTATACACATAAGGGAAGAACCTTCCAGTGCTTGCCCGATGGCATGGTCTGTCTGTATTCCCACTTGCAACCCACAGCTGAATCACAGACTCCCAGGGTAAGGAGCTGCCTTAGTGATGAGCTGGTTCTGCCCTCTGCTTGACACACCGGAGTCCTGCTCCTTCCTCCCTCCTGTCAGCCCTTTCCAGCTGACCATTTCTTCTTGATTGTCTCCAGGGCCAGGGAGTTGACTGCCTCACATGGCAGCTTCTGAACTGATGGTAAATGATGACTCACTGATAGGACATTGATTTCTCTCCTCACTCTGGACTCTCCGGGACCATAGCTAAATGAGAGTCAAGGAGAAATAGGGTCCATATCGGAAGGCTGATTTTCTTTCTCTGTACAGGCTGGTGGGTGACTGTCAGTATAGGAGAAGGGGAGGGAGGATGGATATCTAGAATGCACATTTGCAACAGAAGAGGTGCTTTTTGGGTACCTTATGTCTGCTACTGTTTATTTGGGTACTTACAAAATTCCTGTACTCATAGGGGTAAACTGAGTCCCAGGGATACCAAGTGGCTTACCTAGAATCAGTGGGGTAGCTGGAATTAGAGCTCAGGACTTTATCTTAGTTTGGTGGTGGTCTTCTACTGCCATTGACAGGGAACCTGCTATGTGCCAGACACTCTACTGAGTACTTCTGCTTAGTTTTTACTGATAACACAAAGATTGAACCAATTTTGTATTAATATCCCTATATTACAAGCAAAAAAAATGGAGGCTTATGACATCACGTAACTTCCCCAGGGTGATAGAACCAGCCCATGGTATGGCTGGGAGTCAGACCTGGTGTGTGCATTCACTGTGCCCAGTGGCTCCTGGGTTTAGTGTCCACATGCTGTTAGTATCAGGCACAAGCCTGGCTCTGTGTGAGGCTCTGGGGTTCCCAGTGATGCTTAGGAGGCAGTATCCCCTCTCATGAAGCAGTGAAGGGTCAGTGGCTGTAATTCAGAGCAGGGTGAAATTGATGAATACCTTAAGAAGTAACAGTAAAGTGTTTGGGGAAATTGATAGAAGGAAGAGATCAATCAGGAGTTTTGTTTGTCTCTTGAAGGAGGTCTTGAAAAAGTTAGTGGGTGGCAGACTTTCAGAAATGTTGGTCCATTAGAGTGGAGTGGTTCTTAACTGGAGAGTGGTATCCCCGTTGGCACTGAGTGTTGAGAAGACTGACTCATACCTGGAATTTGGGAAGGCAGCCTTAATATTTGGGAGGGCTCTTCGTTTAATGTGGGGAGGGAGACGGAGAATCCTTTCCTTATCTCCTCAAACAGAGAATCTTCTGCAAGAAGCTTCTCCGTTGACCAATCCTTTCTGATGTGTCCTTTTTGAGTAATTTTTATTTTGAGTTATTTAATTTTAATTTTGAGTAATTTATACTGTCTAGGATTACATCTCTTATCTGTAGGTAGCTGTTGGGATCACTAGTGGCTTCATGTTTCCAAAGAAGAAGGTTTTCCAAGGCATGCCCCCACATTGTTCTTTTTTCAACATTAACCATAAAAAAAATTCCTCTTTACAATATATTCTCATCAGAATTTCTTCAAATAAAGATGGATGTTGTTACAGCTATATTGCAATAATCTTATGACTCTCTCTACACATTTAATGCCATTCATTTATTCATCCCTTCATTCATTCCTGAATAGTTACTGGATATATACCATGGAATTTGGTGAGTCACAACGGGGATGTGAAAAGAGGCCTAGGGCTTCTCCTTGGAGATGCCTACAGTATGTGCCATAGAGATAGATCCACCCCAACTGTACATCAAGATCGGGTGTGATGAGTGTCTTGAAAGAGGTACGAGGACAGTGCTGTGAGAAATCAGAGGAGAACAGGTTACTTCTGGCTGTAGAAATCAGGAAGGGGTTCATGGAAGAGGTGGTCTCTGAGCTGGACCCTAAGGACGGCTGGGGTTTGGAAGCCCTAAGGTGGGTGGGAAGGGACAGCACCTGTACACAGAGAGTCTGGAGGGAGCGCTGGACTCTGCTCTGTCAGTGTGGGTTCAGAGCCCCGCTTTGACCCAGATGTAGCTGAGCGCTCTTGCACAAGGGACTGACCCTCCTCAGACTTCCGCATTAGTGAAACAGGGACAATCCCTGCTTCACAGGACGTCAGAGGAATCAAGGAGAGAACATATACTAAGCCTGTGGCCCTGTGCCGGGCATGTAAGAAGTATGGGTTGAACGTTAGAGCCGATTCTGAATCTACCATTTCCTTTCCCTGGACTTAATCTTTCCAAACCGGCACTTCGGTTGCTTGTAGCCCCATCCACTCTCCTCCTCGTCTTGGCCAGGGCCCCGTGAGATGCCGCAGGAGGCGAGGACGGTGTTCCTAGAGCAGGTGTTCCTTCAGGACTCCTTGGCGTCTCCTGGACTAGGAAAGCTGAGAGCATTTGAGAGTTTTGGGGGAGAGGGATGTTGGAACCTCAGAGCTTTCAAGATCCTGCAGGAGCCCATTCCAGCGTGAGAGAGAACACCCCTGCAGGTTCCACACAGCGTTTGAACCAATCTTGGACTGAAGGTGGAGGTCAATGGGGGTCAAATGAAAGACAGGTTAAGGTGTGCTAATCAAGGGAGGATAGCGACGGTCACTCAGTCATTGAAGCTCTGTCCCACCCCCTCAGGATGATCTCTCCTGTTACACACAGTGTGCAGGTGCACCCCCAGATGTCATCGAGAGCACCGGAGAAATGAGGTCTTCCTCAGACCCAGGATACTGAAAAGCTCTACAGGCCAATCATCCTCAACCCTTTCCCCACACATCTCAACCCAGGGCAAATTGCAGTGGACTCTTCTAGGAATCGTACCCTTTTATTTCCCCTCTCCCCACCTGATTAGCCCTTGAGAAGGTTAAAAGTGAGTGACAAGGGGAGGAAGAGAAACTAGAGCTTCTAGGGTGTAGGCAGGGCCCTTTCCTGGTTAGCAGAGGGCCAGGAAGCAGGATGCTTTGAGTGTCTGAAGAATCTGTATGGGGGGCGGAGCCAGAGGCACTATATAAACCTGGGTGTGGGGCCTACCCAGGGAAGCAGGGTGGAGATCTATTGTCTCAGACTGGTGGGTTTGCTGCACAGTGATTTTCAGGCAGGGGTGGGTCCAGGAATCTTCCAGAGCAGCAAAGCAGTTAGGCATCTACTTTTTAAGGTGTAATCCGTAATCCACTTTTTCTTTAGGCTGATGTTCTGATATCTCTCAAACCAAGGGAAAGTTTGGGTTTGCTTTTCCCCTAGCTATTACAATGTAGTATGCGTCTCTTTGAACTGCGGGGGGCCCAGGTGAGTCCCTTGTACCTGCTTTTGGGTGGGAGGTGGTAGGCTGAGGACAGAGAAAAGTGCTGTTTTGGATTTCCTGGGCACAGGGAAGACTGAGAGAAAAGATAAGTCCAAGGTAGCAAGGAGCAGTCAGCCGGCCCCCCTCTCTGCTGCTCAGGCTCTGACGGGTTCCATTTGGCTGTATAAATACGCCTGTTGAGTCATGAGGCCCTGCACCGCAGGAAGCCAGATTGTGCATCCCACTGTGATCCCACTGTGGATGGCAGACAGGATGGGCTTAACAGACTGAATCCCCCAGTGGGTCACCATTACCATTGATTAGAATGATACCTTGTGGAGGCAAGGAGACTGACAGACAGAGCCATCCCATCCCTCATTAACTTTCTTCTCATTTGTCTGTTTTCCTTCCTTTCCCTCCCCTGTTTTCCATTTCCTAGATGAAGAAACATTTAAACCAGGAGCTTTACTTTTAATAAGACCCTTACTCCTATAAAACAAGAAATGCTCCAGTTTCTCCACTGTGGTGCTTTTAAGCTAGGTTTTAGCTATAGTAGGAAACGCCAAGTATGGCAAGAACCACCTTCCTCCATGGGAACAAGTGATGGCAACAGCTAATATTTATTGCCTTTCTACTTTGGGCCCAGGCTTAATTAACAGAGGTAATTGTCATGCCAGCTTAAGGCATGAATATGGTTATTAATCCCATTTCACAGATGAAGAAACTGAGACCCAGAACACTTAAATGTTCCAGAGCCACATATTTAAAAAGGGATGGCATCCAGATTCTAATCAGGTTTTCTTGTGCTTATATCCCCAGTGCTATAGTTCTCATTCATCCATTCACTCCATGAGGATTTGCCTACCCGAAGTGCTGAGCACTGCCCTGGGGGTGGGGGGTGGGTGTAGCAGTAAACAGCACAGATGCAGATCTCTGCCTTCACATTCTGGGGGAGAGAGGAGATAATAAAATAAGTTAAACAGATTGCATGTTAGGTACCTATAAGTATGATAAAGAAAAATCGAAAGGGAGTAAGAAATATTGGTAGGGGAGATGTATTGTAATTTTAAGTAGATGGTGAGGGAGCACTTCTCCTGGAAGGAGGTATGGGCTCAAGACTTTTGGATATTCCAGGGAACAGATTTCAGGCAAAAGGAACAGCAAGAAAAAAGGTAAAAAAAAAAAAAAAATCAGGTGCCTGGGTAGCTTAGTGGGTTAAAGCCTCTGCTTTCGGCTCAGGTCATGGTCTCAGGTCCTGGGATGGAGCCCCATTATCCCTGCTGAGCAGAGAGCCTGCTTCCTCCTCTCTCTCTGCCTGCCTCTGCCTGCTTGTGATCTCTCTCTCTGTCAAATAAATAAATAAAATCTTTAAAAAAAATCATTATGAAAATCATGATTTTCAAATGATGAAATTCAAAACAGGAGACCTCACTGTGAAAATAGAGTGGGGATGGGCTCGCTTGTTTGTATGCAATTGATGGGAATCTCCCTTGCAAAATCCTGGGTAACTCAGCCAGCCCTACCCACCCCCCAACTGATTTCTGTGGGCTGGAGCTGTTCTTGCCCTTCGGACCACTCACCCTTCACCTATACTCAGTCTGTGCTCAAGTGCAGGGAGGAAAGTTTCCATTACCACGTGGAGCTGGAGGCTACACTTAGGCTGTACTTACAGTGGAAAAATAAGACTGTTTATTACTACGGAACTGTGTTTTTTTTTTTTTTTTTAAGGGAGAAAACCTTAGCCAAGACAGGGATAGACTCAAGGTTTTTTTCTTGCGTGTCTCAAAACAGGAAAAATGTCTCTGAGCCCAAAGCTCCTGAAATTGCCAGTGAATGTCCAGTAGTCACACCCCACTGAAAGGTACAGTGGATTTCCATATAAGGCTTATGAATGAGGCTTATGGTTCCACTGGGTGGTTAGTGTTTTCTCATGGCATCATTGAATCCGAGTCAAAAGCTCTCAGTGAGTTTATCCTTGAAAATGGTTTTCCTATAACAAAAGTCTAGGAATGGTGAAAATGAAAGCCTTTCACTTCAAGTGGCTCAGTGAGACACATTCAGAAGACATAGGTGTTCTGCTCAGGAAGTACTGGAGGAGCGTACATAGAACGTTGTCGAAGGTGATTTAAAAATACTAATTTGCCTTTGTGAGTATCTGCATATTTGCATAATTAATTGCATATTTAGTAGGCTTAGTTTGTAGCATAATTTTCTAATGATGCTCATGTAAATGTGTTGCTTATTTTTCTGACTCCAATATCCCTGTTCTTTCTTTTCCAGAAGATACCTATGAGCGAACGCTGATTGTTGATGGGGAAAGCGCGACCATTATACTCCTTGACATGTGGGAAAATAAGGTATGCAGAGCCCGTAGCTCTCTGTAAATTCCTTCAGGGCTTGCCTTCCAACAGGCTGGTGCAAGGGTGACCTTGTCCTTTTTGGTGTTCTAGGTGAGGTGGGCTCATTTTCTTGATTAGCTTTTTTTTCTTTCCCCTGAAGTAGGAGATTGTTCTCAAGAAGAGGTCATTCGTGAATGAGCTCTGAATAATAAGCAAGTCGCAGTGATTTGCCCTTCAATTAAAAAAAAAGACAAAAACTTACATCCGCTTTAGGGAAAGTGCCAACAAGGATGGAGAATCATTGAAAGCTATATAGAACTAGATTATATGAAGTTGACCTTCCTTTTTTTTTTTTAAGATTTTATTTATTTGACAGAGATCACAAGTAGAGAGGCAGAGAGAGAGAAGGGGAAGCAGGCTCCCCGCTGAGCAGAGAGCCCCATGTGGGGCTCGATCCCAGGACCCTAAGATCATGACCTGAGCCAAAGGCAGAGGCTCAACCCATTGAGCCACCCAGGTGCCCCTAAAGTTGACCTTCTTCTTCTTCTTTTTTTTTTTTTTTAAGTTGACCTTCTTAATACTAGTCTTCAGCATTTGGTTTTTAAAGATTGGGGGCTTCTGAGCCTCTGTGCTAGACCTTCTATTGATTGAGGACCCTCCTCTTCTCACAGAAGGATTCGAAATTTCGTCAGTTGGGAAAGGCAAAAGGGAGTTGTTAGAAGTCAGAGAGGGCTTGTTTTTGGTCGATTAGATAGAGATTGGAAATGTGGTTTGGCAGAGTCACTGTATAATTTATCAACTCCAGCTGTAGGAGGAATCGGACAGTGAACACTTTTGGATACACATAGAGCTTCTTTGCGAAGGACATTTCATCTCCAACAGCCTCCACTCCCCCGCGCCCCAAGCTCAGGGAGTTTCTTTTCGTTTTATCAGGGGGAGAACGAATGGCTCCAGGACCACTGCATGCAAGTTGGGGACGCCTACCTGATCGTCTACTCCATCACAGACCGAGCCAGCTTTGAGAAGGCATCCGAGCTGCGAATCCAGCTCCGCAGGGCCCGGCAGACTGAGGACATTCCTATCATTTTGGTGGGCAACAAAAGTGACCTGGTGCGGTGCCGGGAAGTGTCTGTGTCAGGTGAGGGGTAGTGAGCACCACAGAGACCTCTCTGGGTCCCCTGCTTGTCCTTCACCTGGGCGCTCTTTTCTTCTTCTTTCCTGAAGCTGGAACCAGGGACTCCCTGAAATGCTCCGTGGAGTTTTGTGTAGACGACTCCCAGCATTCCCAGCAGATCTTCCCTGTGCTGACGCTCCCTTGTCCGTCTGGGCTGCTCGCTGGATTCCCGTTTCCCCTCCCTGGCATTCCCTTGGCAAAAAGATCATGCTCAGAGATCTGCTGGCACTCTCCAACCTTTACTCCTTGTCCTTTTCTTTAGGGAACTCTTAGGAGTTCAGGGAAATAAAAGTAGTTAGTGTCTTTATGTAAGAAAGATGGGAACTCTGATGTGGGGGAATGGTGGGAGTTTCATTGAGAATAAGAATTCTACTCTGGCTGCCTCTGGTTCCTGGAGACCCCAGGAAGAGCCTCCTGCCCCTACCTCTTGCTTCCTAAGTTTCAGCGAAGGCATCAATCTGATGGTGTCACATAGACATTTTCATGCTTCTGGGATATCGCCTATTTGCTGGGTGGGCCCCCAAGTACTTTCAGGGTCCTTGAGATTTTATTGGCCTCATACAGATTTGGTTCTTGGTACAACAGTAAAAAATAAAACACTGTATTGCCAGGCCCCACTCAGGAGGAAAGCAACGTGATGCAGACCTAATGTATACAACTAGCTTGGGCATGTCTTACTCATAGGAGACGACTGTCTATGCTGATCATCTTTTTCTAACCAAACTTGGATACATGGTCAGTGAACACAAGGGAATGTTTGACATAGAGGCTGCCCCAGGAGAGCTGTTTATACAGTTTGCTCTAACTGTACATCTGTGAAATCACCAACAGTGTTTCAAAATATCTCATTAGAGGTTTAACATTGTTTTTTAAGGGAGCAAAGTGAAATAGTGGGATTCTTTGTCAATTCTGGGAAACCGAGTCAGTAGAAAGTGTTAAGAATCTGAGTGTGAGGATGAAGCAGGCCTGGATTCACCTCTGCTGCTTACAGGCTGTGTGAACTTCCCCACTTTTTTTTTTTTTAAAGATTTATTTATTTGAGAGGGAGCACAAGCAGGCGGGTACAGCAGCAGCAGAGGGAGAGGGAGAAGCAGGCTCCCTGGTCCAGATGCGGGGCTTTATCCCAGAACCCCGGGGTCATGACCTGAGCCAAAGGCAGACACTTAACCAACTGAGCCACCCAGGCGCCCCACTCTCTCACATTTTTAAAAGATCACTCCCACCTCAGTGTCTTTTTCTCTCTGGGAGGGAGAATGTATTTTTCAAGTAACATCGTAAGTGCAATAAATGAGGTTCTGGTTTTCACCGTTAGAGTTAGCATTACTGTATCTGATGGAATTGGACCTCCACACAGGGCCTTTGTGGTGGACCAGCCCTAACGCCCCCCCTCTCCTGCTTGCGGGAAACTTCCTGTGACCCTGCCTCGCTCTTTGCCCCAGGAGGACGTGTGTCACCATCACATGTCCGACTGGCCTATAGCTGCCTGGCGACAGCTTCAGGTCAGGGGTCCTCCAGCGTGGCCGTGCACCCCAGAGCTCCTCTGACTCTCTTCTCCCCTCCTTTCCTCACCAGAAGGGAGAGCGTGTGCTGTGGTGTTCGACTGCAAGTTCATCGAGACCTCAGCAGCCGTCCAGCACAATGTGAAGGAGCTGTTTGAGGGGATCGTGCGGCAGGTACGCCTTCGGAGGGACAGCAAGGAGAAGAACGAGAGGCGGCTGGCTTACCAGAAAAGGAGGGAGAGCATCCCCAGGAAAGCCCGGCGCTTCTGGGGCAAGATCGTGGCCAAAAACAACAAGAATATGGCTTTCAAGCTCAAGTCCAAATCCTGCCATGACCTCTCTGTGCTCTAGGCCCCCAGAGTCACCCCAGATGTTCCCCTGATGGACATCGTAGAGCACCATTGGGACTGATAATCTATATTAGATTGCATCTTCAGTGTTATTAGATACAGCTTCCCCCATTGTAGCTGGGAATTAACTGGTTGGCCTCAAGAGCAACATAATGCATGGGAAACAGAAGGTCTTTGTAAAACCAGTATTTATTTACAGGAAAAGCCTGACCTTGCTACTTGAACACCCAAGACTTAGAGGATGTGTTTGGGGTTCACATGTGTTTCCTTTCTCCTCTGGATAGTAGAGAATTGAAGCTCAGAACAAGAACTTTTCATTATTAAAATTCTATCCTGTGTTCCGATACATGAATTTGAGGCCAGTGGGCCATAGACAAAATACTGGATAGTGGTCAAAGGATTTATCCAAAGGAGGGAGGATTTCTTTCTCTGTACCTTCTATTTGTGGAGCTAGGATTGTAGAACCGGGCTCAACATAATCGTGACTGTCATTGCTCCATCAAGCTGTGAAAAGAAATGATGGACCTTGCTGGAAACTAAAGCTTAGCCAACAGTTTTTGTTTCCTACCCACAGTTGGGGATCCAGAAATTTGTACAATTGGGAACCGATACAGGTACCATGTAGGGGATCAAAAATCATATCTTTGCTTCTGTGTCTTACAGTTTTTTGTTTAGAGGAAAATTATTTAAATCAAATTCTACTTGGTCAAACTACCTTTTATGTTTCATTGTTTTTAAAGCCTTGGGCCATGATGAATATATTCTAAAAGTCGGAGTTTTTGATAACTTCGAGTGCAGAATGCCAAATTTTGAAATATAATTGAAGGTCTGAATTTTTATAAAACACAAAACGTGAAACTTCCAGTACTTTGGGTTGACCCTGGTGTCCCACAGCTCTGCTCTATTTATTGTTATTTTGCAAAATAATAACCATTTTGACATTTGATAAAGCATATTTATGAACATATTTCTTAATAGGAAAAATGTCCATTTTATTACCATTTTCTATCTTTTTCAGAATAATCAAGTTTTTACCAATATGTCTTATAATGAAAGAAATAAAATCTTTGGGAAAAAAAGACATTCTTAAATGTTTCTCCTCCCCAGATAAGACGATTATGATTCCTTCCATTTGCTTTTAGCACAAGCACATTCTACAGAAACATACCTGTTACTTTATATCTTCTTTTCATTGGTGGTAGTCCCATTGTTATTTGTTTCAAAGACTATCTCTGACATCTGTCCTTTGGAACCATGATTCACAATAATGCAGTTATTTTTGGCTAATACATTTAGAATATTTGGGGTCCTCTAAATGCTAAGTTACAATAAAAGCCAGATTGATATTTTACTTTGGCAAATTTCTGACCTAACAGATGGCCCTTTGCTCCATGAAGGCTCATGGTCCTAAGCTTGACTAAAGCATTAGAGGAAATTATAAAGATTGGGGGGGGGAGGAAACTGGTGATTTTCAGCCTGAGATCTATCTAGCCAGGCAAGGCTGTAACCAAATTCTCATTGACATCTAACCAGTGGCGGCGTGTGACCCGTTGCTGGAGTGGAACGACCCGATGTCTCCCTTTCACATCGGTGGCCCCTGCGTGTACCCTCCGTGGCCTCCCCTCTGTTTCTGAGTTTGTAATCAGACACACACTAATAGTGACAGCCATGGGACCTTGAATATTGCCTAAAGCAACAGCCTTACAACTCAGTTCTGCTGGCTCGTTCTCCTGGCTTGCTCTCCTCCTTTTTCCGAATTGAGGGCCAGGTACCCGTCTCTGTGCACTCTCCCTCTTTGAATCGCTCGAGGAAGCAGTACAGGGAGAGGATAAGCGAGAACAGTCAGGTGTCACAGGCAGCATCACTGCCATTTAACATCCTTGTGTCTTTGGAGCAAAGGCGAAACCTTTATGACCATCATTTTCCTCATCTGCAAAATGGGGTTGTTACTAATAGCTACCTTGTAAGATTGTGAGGTGAACATCTTTTAATCTGCCGAACGTGAAGAGCTCAAGAGACATCTGTTTTGTCATAGGTCTTCCATTCTGCATAAGTCACTTTTATATGTCTGCCTTCCCCCAAATGGAAGGGAATCATTCCCTTAATCATTCCCTTAAAATCCCTTACTTTTCCCTTTATCCCTCTACTCTTCAATGCAGTCCCTTGTGTATATTGGGCTTTTATCGGTTTCTTCTTGAATAGACTTTCCCAACAGCCCCATGAAGTTGACAGGCCATTTTAAAACAAACAAGTTCGGGGGGATAGGTGGCTTGTTCCAGTTCAGATGTGTCTGGGCTTGGAGTAGGGTCCAGATGTGATTCGGAGTCCTTCACATCTTTCAGTATCCCAAACTGTTTCCCATGGACACAGCTCTTTTCATCTACTGGAACCACCACCACCACCACCACCACCACCACCACACACACACACACACACACACACACAGATCACACACACTCCACAAAATGCCATAGCCCCACCATACACCATGCACCACACACATAGCACACATCCCAGACCCCACCCCGCCCCCACCACAGCCCACATGTACCACATACCACACACACTCCTCCACACGGCACACACATAAACATGCACATGAAGCAAACACAGCACATGTATCCCACACCACACACCGAATCCCACATATATACCACCACACACACACATACCCCCTAAATACACACATTCTTTATTGACGCTGTTGTCCTCCTACATTCAACCATCCTACTCACTTGTTTTGGACCCTCCCAGCCAAATGGTCAACAGCTGCTGAGACTCTCAAGCTCAAGGGCCTGTGGAGGATTGTCGCACGGGGGCTCCCTCAGTCTGAGCCCGCGGCAGGACAATCTGGGGTGTATTCCAGTCTGAGAGGCTTTCTGGGGAAGAGCTGCGGCTCTTGAGTCAGATGGGTTTCACTCTGGTTTCGTCACTTAGATGTGTGACCAGAGGGAAATACCTTATCCCCTCAGCCTCAGTTTCCCATCTGTGAGGTGAGAAGAACAACGACACCAGCTTCGCAGGATTGTGGTGAGGATGGTGGAGACCTGCAAAGGTTATCATCCCACAAGAACTCTGAGGACTTCTACTCTAATGAAGCCTTTATGCCTTCATTCCCTTTCTCATCCTTCAACAGTATTGGACACCTGAGCCCCACTGGGTGCTGGGAATATAATGACTAAGACATTATCCGGGTCCTCAGAGCACCCCGCCCCACCAAATTGTTTATTTGCCGTCCCAAGAAGCTAAAGAAGGTGGCATTGACGGTAGGAAGAAACTGAAAAAACATGGGAGGATTATATCTGGAAGGGGCTGGATTCACTGCCATTAGATCAGATTCAACTGAGGAAAAAATGATTAAAATGATACACTGTGGGAAAGTAATTTGGGCTATTTTTAAAAAATTCCGTTTTGGGGGAAGTGGGAACATTGGGGGAAAAGTTGGTTTTTAAGCATCCCCAGTTTTGCTCACTAATACATGATCTTTTCAATGCAGGGAGAGGCGGTTGATTATGAGTTCACTTGGCTAAATCTATGGAACTCCTGTGAGAAGGGGGTTGCGATATATTAGTGGGAAGTGGGCCCAGTGATGAAGGGGGACAAGTGCACAAAAACCTAGAATAGGCTGTAAAAGATAAGTAGCTGGAGACATGTCAAGTAAGGGAGTTGGAGCTTGGGCGGGAGAAAGAATTCCTTGCTTGGCTGGTACAATCATGACTGTCTTCTTGGAGGAAGTGGCATTGAGCTTCATCTTGAAGGCTATTCAAGATTTCCACAGGTAAAATGTGATTAGTTAAGGATATCAAGATGAAGTCTTTCTGGACTTAGGGTGGGTCCTCAATCCAATAAGCACACAAAGGAGAGAGAGAGAAAGACTTGGACACAGAAAAGACACACAGGGAAGAAGCAGGTGTGAAGGTGGGGTGGAGACAGGAGTGATACAGCTAAGCCAATGAGTATGAAGGAATGCCTGGGACCACCAGGAGCTAGAAAAGGAAGGAAGGATTCTCCCCTAATGTCTTCCAAGTGAGTATGGCCCTGCCCACATCATGATTTTAGATGTTTAGCCTTCAGAAATGCATGAGAATTCATTTCTGTTGTTTTTAAAGCCACCAAGTTTAAGGTAAGCTGGGCGGCCCTCGGAAACAAAATCCTTTGGGTTATTTAGGGCAACTTACTTAGCGTCTGTAAGCCTCAATTTCTTCATCTGGAAAACAAGGATAATACCCATCTCAAAGGATTATTTTGAGGATTAAATGTAAGGCGCTTAATTTATCATCTGTCCAGGAGGTGCAAAGTGAGCAATCTGCAAGCGTAGATGGACAGCCCGTGCAGAACACGTCGATTTCCAGACCGAGAGCTTGGCTTGGTTCAGAAGACCATGCCGGCTCTTGAATGTTTCCAAACAAGGATGCGACAGGCCAAGCGGCACTGTTTCGGGACATGGCCGGGGAGAGCTGACTGGCAGGAACCAGAAGGCATGAGATGCCCCTGTGAGGAGCTCGGCGAGGAAGCCACCGCAACAGGGAGCCCGGTGCTCCCTGGAATGCGTTGCGCGCAGAGGGAGGGCGCGGCGACTGGGGAGAAGCAGCCTCCAGAAGATCCACGGATGGGCTTCCAGAGCGCACGTCTGGCAGCGTTCAGGTTTTGTGCGGGGAGGGCTCACAGAGCAGCGAGGCCTGATGCCGACCAGACAGACAGAGGTGCAGACGCCACGGAGAAAAGGGAGGAGGAGGCGAGGGGGGCGGGGGACGGCAGCTGACTGGGGCTAACGCAGGAGTAAGATTACACTGGAGTCAGGGCGCGGCTTCTGACTTTGCAACTGTCTGGAAAACAGTCACGGAGCAAGAGACCCTAAACCCTCAGTCTTCGTCTGGCCTAACTTTGGGGGAAAATGAGGAAGGCAATGTGGCACACCTGCTTTGCTTACAATAAGGCTAGGGATAAACGTACGCCAACAGGGACAGGAAGCTTTCAGCGCAGGACTGCCGCTGGGTGCGCAGGTGGCTCTGCGTGGGTGTGCGCATGGAGGCACGCACGTGCGCACGCGAGTGCGTGGTGTGTGTGTGTGTGTGTGTGTGTATGCACGCACTCACGGGGCAAAGATGGGAAAGAGGAATCTCACAGTTAAAGAGTACTGCAATTACAGGAACTTCAAATATCCACTAGACTCACCTTGCTCCACTTTTCAGTATATGCCCCAAAACAGGGCAGCTGTCTGGCCTCTTACTGACTGTAGTGTCCGCCAAGGGCGTGGAATAATACAGACGTGCATGTTGTTTCTGAAACTCAGGACAAGTTGTCACTTAAGTTTGCCGTGATTGTAGTCAACTGAGTCAGAAAAAAATGTGCCTGTGTCTTCCGCTGTGCTGTTTTTAACGACTGGGATGGAAGTAGAGAAGCTAACCCCTGTCAGCTTTTAGAAACATGGAAATGAAGGAGGAGTGAGAAGTGCCCCATATCTTACTGGTATCACCCAGAAGCCTGAGGACAGCTGTCTGACTTGGAGAAATCCCGCTGCCTTGTGGGAGATTTGAAAGTTTTGGAAGGAGCTTTCTTGAGAGGCGTTTGCAATCTTATATACGTATGCATACACAGACCCGTATATACAAATGTATGCAACCAGACCTACGATGCACGTGGATAGGTTCATACAGGTGCGCGCGCATGCGCGCGCGCGCGCACACACACACACACACACACACACACACGTGCACATTTACTCCAGCCTCATTTAAAGGCAGGGAGTACTCATAGTACAGATGGCAGGGGTTTGAAAATAAAAATCTGATGAGGGAATTACAGCCCGCTCGGGAGCGTTGACCGAGGCTGCCTTACCAGGCATACCAAAAGACACAAATGAGGAGCAAGTGTGCAAATAGCAGAAAATGGGTAAGGCACAGGGTTGTGAGGAGTGCAACGCCCGCCGTGAGTCGGGTTTTACAGGGCTGAAAAAAACCGTCATCAGATGTACTTAAAAGCAGTCATTTCTTTTTCTTTTTCTTTTTTTTTGGTTAACGTCAGACCAGAGAAGGCCATGAGGTAGGAGTGGAAATCCTATTTTAAAAAGTCCAAAGG